GCCTCCTGAGACAGAAAACAGCCTACGAGCGCGAAGGGCTGGAGGCGGCTCGCTGCGCGGCGGGCACCGCGGGCAGGACAGCACGGCCGGGCGCGGGCTGCTCCGTTTGCTAGAGCGTCCTCCCATCGAGAACCCTTTGGCATGGAGCTGCAGCAGCTGAAGGTGCCCCCAGCGTGTCCCGCTCCTCGGAGCCTCCTGATGCACCCGGATGGCATCGCCGCGCAGCGGGGCCGTGCGCTGCCCGGGCGGGAGGCAGCAGCGGCTTCAGAGTCTGCTGCAGCCCCGAGTCCTGACTGAGGGTCCTGCGGAGGGGGAGAAGGAGGCAACGGTGCCGCAGTGGAGGAAAACCTTCCCTCGGCATCTCCGGCCAGAGCCGGCAAGGCAGCGAGCAGCACGGGCTGCTCCTGTTTTCGGAGGTTTGCAGTGCGACAGGTGCAGGGATGGGGTGTCCCCTGCCCCTCCAGGAGTCCCCTCCCTTCTTCCAGCCCCGTCCTCTGCCCAGGGCAGTAAGCGGGGGTCGGAGCAGGGGGCTCGGCAGGCCCCAGCAGAGCCAGGAGAGGGCAACCTCGCCCTGCTTTTAAGAACGGGAGCCGACGGGGGCAGCCCTTGCGCTGCTTCCTGGGCACTGGCAGGGCCTGGGCAGGTGGTACCTAAAAGCACGTTGGTTTTCCCATGTGTCTGAGCACGGAGCGCTGGCTGCGGGGGCTCGGGAAGGTCCCCAACCTTTGTGCGCCGACCATGTGCTCCGGACAGCCGGGGCGGCTGAGGAGGACCCACCGCAAGTGGCTGTGGCGCTCCCGCCAGCTGATGACAGCGTTTCCCAGAGCTGCCATCCCAAGCCCGCTCCGCTGCCCCGTGCTCGGCGCTGCCATGGTTCTGCCCTGCAGCTCGTGGGCCCCGGGGAGCTCCCGCATCCCTGCTGGTCTGGTGCCCCGAGTAGCAGATACCGATACCCAGGCAGGACTGTGTCACCCCTGCCTGTTTTGCCACCCTCTGCCTGTCGCCTTAAGGAGCAAACCAGGATATGGGGCAGCTGCTGCCATGGGAGAAGTGGGACTGGGAGACGGGAGTCACCTTTCCCATCCTGCCCAGGTGGGAAGCAGAGGAACCAGTGCCCTCGTCCTTTTACCAGGGACAAGGTAGGGACAAGGGAGTTGGTCCTGGAAACACTCCTGCCTGCATCCGGAGCGATGCCAGGGGCTGTGCAGCCCCGGGCAGCGGCAATGGGGAGACCAGGATGGAGAGGAGCTGGGGATACGTTAGCGCCAGCTTCTCAAACACTGAGCCCAAAGCTGCCCAGCTGCCAGGGGATGCCAAAGGATATGGAACACATTGGGGCATCCCTTTGCTGGATTGTCGTATCCTTGCTGGGTGTGTGTGGCTGCAGAGCAAAGTGCTGGGCTCCCGCACAGACGGGCTGCATGAGAGGGAGGGTGAATCAGCACATGGGAAAGGGTGGAAAATCCTGCCCCAGTTTGTGAGTCCCCGCTCCTTTCATGAGCTTTTCCCAATGTGTTTATGGTTTTAATTCAGCAGCTCAGCTGTTTTTTAATGGCTGCCGTTCTGTTTTGTTCTTGGATGTCAGGGGGGCTGTTTTGATTACTCACTGCCGGGTAAAATGTTAGTGGATAAATGACCAGGGAAATCGTAACGACATCGGTGCTGCCCCTGGCCAGGGGACGCTGCAGACGCGGCCATCCGTGCCAGGATGTTCCCGATACAGGCGGCGCGTGGAACAGGGAACCCAAATGCCAGGATAAGGGCTCTGTGTCAAACTGCCCTATCGTTTTGAAAACATGGAAGCAAGAAACCCATCCGTTTTGCAGCTCCGCTTTGCAACAACGTGTTTATTGGGTATGCTTGAAAAAAAAAAGAAAGAAAGAAAGAAAAAAAACTAATTAGAAAAGGGAAGAAAGGGATGCATAGACTGTCCTACCACATGCTCTACGCACCTACTTAAAGTACAAATCAAAACTACTCTGGACACTGGTTCTGTCGTCGTAACTGGCCGGCACCAGAACGCGGAACGTGCAGACACGTGGGGCGAGGCGGACGCGGGAGCCCAGAGCCGCGGGATGCGATGGGGCTGCAGGGACCCTGCTTCCCGACGCATGCAGCAAGGAGCGGTGCTGGCCCCTTCCCGGCACGTGGGACGCTCGCCCTTGCCCACCCTGCGAGCCCGTGTTGCCCCAATCATGGCACCCAACGCAGCCGCGATTCCCCAGGTTGCTTCCCGCCCTTTGGAAACTCATCCTCACCCAACGCGGCTCCGGCGATGCCAAATCAAAGCCCCCAGCATCCCTTCCAAGTCCCTCCTCCTTTTGAGCTACAAATCTAACCAGTCCCAACGGGCTGGGTGGGGAAGAGGAGGGCAGGGGTGGGAGGGAGCAAGGTTGGTTTTGGTGGGGGCAGCGCCTCTCTCCACCCAGCCCACCTGAGGTTCCAGCCAGCGCCTCCCTGCCGGCCCCACGCGCCCGGCTCAGCACACGCTGCAGCTGTTGGTCTTGTTCATGGGCGGCCTCAGCATGGGCTCCTTGGGAAACGTCTCCCTCCGCTTGCAGAGGGCCGGGCTGAGGCGGCTGGGCAGGTTGGCTTGCTGCAGGAGCTCCCTGAACACCTCCAGGACGTTCTCGTTCTCCTTGGCTGACGTCTCCACAAAGCGGCTGTTCCAGTCCAGCTCCACCAGCGACAGGGCATCCTCTGCCGGGACCTGCCTCTCGCCGCCGCTCTCTGCTTTGTTACCCACCACCACGATGGGAGGGAACTTGTCCTCCTTCACCTCCAAGATCTCCTCCCGCAAGGTCTTGACGCTCTCGAAGGACTCGGCATCATCTACGGCGTAGACCAAGGCGAAGGCATCGCTGTTCTGGATCGAGAGCTTCCTCATAGCCGGGAAGGAGTAGCTCCCGCTGGTGTCCAGGATCTCCACCTTGACCGTGGCCCCGCACACCTCGTACTCCTTGCTGTGCAGCTCCTCCACCGTGCGCCGGTGCTTGGGCTCGAAGGTGTCCAGCAGGAAGCGGCGGATCAGGGCTGTCTTGCCCACGCCGGCAGCGCCCAAGAAGACCAGGCGCACGTGGTTCTTCTCCTTCGCAACCAGCGACATGGCAGAGGCTCTCCAGGGGATGGGGTGCCCCGCAGCTCGCGCTCCGAATGGGCTTCTTTTGGGTGGCGGCAGCCCCGGCGACCTGCCTGCCCGGCAGCCCAACGCTCGGTGTCTCCTGTGCCTCGAGCCGCCCGGCTCCGCGCGGCCGGCGAAGTTCGTTGCCACCTTCCTGCAAACTTCTCCCCGCTGTGGTGCTGCAGGCTCTACCGTCCCCCAGACCAGCTCATCTTTTATCCTGGTTCCTCTCTGCCATGTGGCACCCGGCTGTCCAATCTCCGTGGGTTGAGGGTGCTGAAGGAGGGAGGGCAGGGAGGGAGGAGAGCATGGTGCTCCGGGCCAATCCGCGGAGCGCTGTCCTGGAAAGCTCCTCCAGCCCTGGAGAGCACCGCGCTACATTGCACTCGCATCTCTCGCCGCCGCCGGAGCGGTGGTGAGCTGGCAGCCTTGCAGCCCGCGCCGCGCGAGCCGTCCTGCCCTTTTGTCCTCTGTGATCATTAACCCGTGCTTCTTGGCATGGGTTTCGGCAAGGGAGCTAAGTCAAGCTCCCCCTCCTGTTGGGTGACTCATGGATGGACATGGCAGACGGCTTGATGTTGATTCTGACATTCGTGTGTGTCTGGGGACGTGTTTGCAGACTAAGAGGCTGCAAACATGCTCAACCATTCTAGAATTCTGTGAGTGATTTGACCTGAGGGGAAAACAGACTCTCCATTAAGAAACGTGCATCATAATCACTAAGGTGAACCATCACTCATCCTGTGATTCTATGAAATGTTTGACCCAAGGGAAAAACAGGATCCCTCTGAAAACAGTGCACTGCAATCGCCAACTTCAAGTGTCAAACGAGCCAAGACAGGAACCCCTGTCCTGTCTTAAATGCAGTGCATTTTTGACCCAAAGTGCCCAAGTTCTCCACAGTGTCCAGAACAGACACAGCAAACCCTCAGAGTGACATCATCTGGGGCTGATCCTTGCAGACATGGTGGCAAACCCAAGTCAACCCAAGCCAAACTTAAGAAACCGTCACTGCTCCTGCACTGGTGAAAAACGTTGGTCTCTACCGAGGAGAAGACCTTCAGCACGGAGAAATGAGTGCGAGATGCAGATCCACGGAAGGGGGCAGAGCAGGGAAGAGGCAGAGCCGGTGTTCAGCTCATGGGCTCAGGCTTGGCACGCTGAATGTCAGCAGGGGACCGGCTGGCTGATTTATGGTGCAGAAAAGCAGGATGTATGGCGCTCCCCTGCTCCAAGCAGAGGGACGTTTGCAGGTTGCCCCAGCTGGATGGGTTTCCTCAGCATTCACCTTTTCTTTTTCTTGCTGGACTGGTTTTAGAAGCTGATTTATGAAAAGTGAAAATACAGAGGAAATTGTTCAAAAGTTGAAGAAATGCCTTTGTCCTAATTTTGTTAGGCTTGTTTTTAGCTTTGCACCAGTTCTTGTAATTAATGCAATTGAGTTTTTTTTTTTTTTTTTCATTGCAAAGGACCAGTTTTAGTATTTAGCTCTGGCTCAATTTATTCTACTGATAATACTGACTGAATTATTCCTGCCATTCCATTCTCCAATTAGGATCATATTTTAGCAGTATTAAGAGCTATTCCTATCTGATCCCATTATGAGACAAGCCAAGAGATTTCACCGGGAGAAGCAGAAGCCTCTCCTCTCTGAGGAGATGCATCTCTGCATCAGATGAGGAAAGCTGGTCTCTCGAACAGCACTAGCAATGGGACAGTTTTCCAGAAATCTCATCTAAACCATGGCACAACTCATGGCTCAACTGGGATGCTGTTTAAAAATATTAATTAAAACCATAGCCATGGAACATGCTCTTTTTTTTTTTTCTCTCTCTGATTTCTTCTCTTTAATTTTGGGTTTAGTAAGAGCCCATTTCCTTCCTCGAAGCAATGTCTGTCCTCCCTTTTCATGATGTTTTGGGGCAGGAGAGGCTTATGGTTGAAGCCTTTT